CTCTGTCCATAGGACAACAATCAGTCGTATACTGCACAAATCTGGCCTTTATGGAAGAGTGGCAAGAAGAAAGCCATTTCTTAAAGATATCCATAAAAAGTGTCGTTTAAAGTTTGCCACAAGCCACCTGGGAGACACACCAAACATGTGGAAGAAGGTGCTCTGGTCAGATGAAACCAAAATCGAACTTTTTGGCAACAATGCAAAACGTTATGTTTGGCGTAAAAGAAACACAGCTGATCACCCTGAACACACCATCCCCACTGTCAAACATGGTGGTGGCAGCATCATGGTTTGGGGCTGCTTTTCTTCAGCAGGGGCAGGGAAGATGGTTAAAATTGATGGGAAGATGGATGGAGCCAAATACAGGACCATTCTGGAAGGAAACCTGATGGAGTCTGCAACAGACCTGAGACTGGGACGGAGATTTGTCTTCCAACAAGACAATGATCCAAAACATAAAGCCAAATCTACAATGGAATGGTTCACAAATAAACATATCCAGGTGTTAGAATGGTCAAGTCAAAGTCCAGACCTGAATCCAATCGAGAATCTGTGGAAAGAACTGACAACTGCTGTTCACAAACGCTCTCCATCCAACCTCACTGAGCTCGAGCTGTTTTGCAAGGAGGCATGGGCAAAAATTTCAGTCTCTCGATGTGCAAAACTGATAGAGACATACCCCAAGTGACTTACAGCTGTAATCGCAGCAAAAGGTGGCGCTACAACGTATTAACTTAAGGGGGTTGAATAATTTTGCACGCCCAATTTTTCAGTTTTTTATTTGTTAAAAAAGTTTGACATATCCAATAAATTTCGTTCCACTTCATGATTGTGTCCCACTTGTTGTTGATTCTTCCCAAAAAATTACAGTTTTATATCTTTATGTTTGAAGCCTGAAATGTGGCAAAAGGTCGCAAAGTTCAAGGGGGCCGAATACTTTCGCAAGGCACTGTAATGCTTTGAAATGAAAAATGCGACATCTCTCCTCAAAGCTGCAGCGTCATTTTTGGGGAACTTCCAAAACCTTGCATTAGAGCTGGAGACACAATGGAAGCCATGTGCGCAGCTTGACATTGCACACTACACAGATCAGATTGACAATTGTCGGTCAGAGTTTGACAAACACTTTCAAAACTTTGCTTCACTCAAGCCAGTCGCTACATTTATGTGCTACCCATTTAGGGAAGATATTGAGGTTGATTCACTTGAATCAAAAATTGCAACACTGTTTGGAGTGGAGGATGAGATATTGACACTATAGACTGACATTCAGCTGAAATCCAGGACAAATGGACCGTTTTGGAACTCACAGAGGAAAAGTACCCAAACATGAGGAAATGTGCCATTGACTGCATTATTTATGCGAGTCAGCATTTTCCCACATGAAGATTATTAAGTCCAAATACCGCTCCACCATGTCTGACGATGATCTGGAAGTCTGCTTGAGGCTGGCTACCAGCAGCTACTGTCTGGACTATGCAGCCCTGGCTGATTCCATTCAGTGCAAGTCATCAGAGTAAAGTAATGGCTAGAAATGTACTGAATTGCAGTGTGCCTTAAAGGTTCATGCAGTTATGCAAGGTGTGCCAACATATATTGTGTTTATATAAAGTATATTCAGTATATTTATAAATAAATATATGTTTAGTATTTTTAGTATAGGTAGATCATTTTGACTTGGTCATTTGAAAAGTAGCTTGCAAGGTGAAAAAGTGTGGGCACCCCTGGTTTAGGGTGTTACAACATATACTATTGTTTACCTATCTATGGAGGAGAAATTCAAATTAATTAATATTGTTGCAGTTCATTGTGCTGTTCACTTTTCGAGGCAAACACTGGCAACAGGAGTTGTGAACATTCATGAACTATCGTCTTGTTTTTAGGAAGCGGCTCTCTGGTTTTATCGTTCTGAAATAATTACAGACTATCTGGAGTTATGATGGGTGCAAAACTAATCCAGAGGTTTCCAAGATAAAAAAATTAAATGGCTGGAAATGAGCATGCCATGAGTTCTTTAAACCTATAAGGAATGGGATAAAGGGGAAGCATAGGTGGGGAATAGGTGACAGCTTCTGAAGTCATGATGTAATGTTGATAAAAGGTGATGTTGAAAAAGTTATATTTTGAAGTGTTTTTTTTTAAAACATGAATAAATGTTAATTCTATTTTAATATTTGACAGGTGTGTGCTGTAGGTGGGAAATCATACTGAAAATTAGCAAATAACATGTACAGGTGGATTGTTAATACTTGTTAATAAGGCGGTTCATTATAAAGGTTATTGAATTTCATTTTCTTATCCATCAGAATATTGAAGCAGATGCACAATAATTCTTTGTAGTAGAGGAAAACATGCCCTTACAGTTGTACCTCTTAAACCTGCATTAATGCTAGTATCCCATTTGGACAAGAAAGTTAAAAGTATATATGAAAATAAGAGCAAATTGAAAAATAGAAAAGATATCAGCTTAAACAGATAAAGATTGTGTACCTGTGTTTCTTATAGTTCAGTGCTGTTTTAAGTGGGTTTCCATTTAAATGTGCAAATTATGTTTTCATAACTCCTAATATTATGCAAATATTAGGAGTTTTA